ACTCCGGGGGAGCTCTGCCGGTTCCCGCCGGCCGGGCGTCTGGCCCCAGTGACTCTGGTGGAGCTCTGCCAGTTCCCTGGGATAATGTTATTTCCCCTCTCCTGAAGTGGGTTATGGCAGGATCCTCCGAGCACCTGGGGCCCCTCCCAGTACGGGAGGTGGGGGGCAGCGGAGCTGATGGTTGATACTCTGCTGGGACCTGGGAGGAAGAAGAGGGTGAGGAGGGCTGAGACGGAGAATCCATCTCTGGGCGAGAGAGGCTAGGGGCTGGGTTGGGAAGAAAAGCTCCTGGTGGCCCTGGGTCCTGTTTAGCCTGACTCCATCCCCCTTTCGCTAGCGCTGTGAGGGGTGCAGCCCATTCGGGGCGGGGGGTGAGGGAAAGGGAGGTTCAGAGCATGGCAAGACGGGCTTGTGTGTCCCCTCCCCCTGCAAAGAGGCAGGGCCTAGTGGGCCTGAGAGCCGGGAACTCCCTGCTTCCAATCCTGCCTCATCTATCGACACCTTCAGGGAAGCCGCTTCCCCTCCCTGTGCCTCAGTCTCCCCCAGCTCACAGGGACCCTGCGGACCTACCCAGTGGTCAGTTAAGCACTCAAACGGTGCCCCGCCCACCTCTCCATTCGGTCTCCTGATTGGCTCTTCAGTTGATGAGATGGGACAGGCTATGAGGGTAGACCAATGGCTGGTCTATTTGGCCATGCCCTTCAGGTTAAGGATGCAGGGGGGACTCTGCCCACATCCCTTTTCTGTGGATAGGAGGCAGCTGGCAGAGGTGCCAGTTTAGCACCACTCAACAGTGCTCTAGTCACTTACGCTAACCTCTGCTGCTGTATGTCTGGAGGAGCGTTCACGCAAGGCGCAGTGGTTAAGGTACTGGACTGGGACTCAGGGGATCGGGGTTTAATTCCTAGCTCTGGCACAGATTTCCCTTGGGCAAGTCAAATCTCTCTGGACCTCAGTTGCCCATCTGTAAATTGGGGAGAATGATCCTGCTTTTGTCTTGTCTAGTTGCAAGCTCTTTGGGGCAGGGACTGTCTCGTTATGTGTCTGTACAGCGCCTAGCGTAGCTGGGTCCCTGATCTCGGTGCTGCCGTAATAACGGAAGCGCCTATCGGCTGCTGAGACAGTGTCACGGTTTGTTTGAATGGTGGAGCAGAAGGCTGCCACTGAAAACCAGCAGCCCGCCCTGAGTCAAAGGAATCAGACAGGTTGTGCCAGCAGGGATGAGGTTAGCCCTTGAGTTCAGTGTGAATGCTCTTTTTGGGGGGTGAAGGTTAAGCTTGGGCGCCTCTCTTTGGCGATCCTGGTGTGCCTTCTCGCGGGGCACCCTCTGTCCCCTAACGTGCGGCTTGCTGCCTTTCAGGCATGCAGCAAGAGGAGGATGTCGGCACACAGTATCGTTCGGTCATCCACACGTTCGGAGCCCAGCAGAGGGATGCTGCCCTGAAGTCGAAGGCGATGTATCAACAGGCAGGTTTGGAGCAGAGGCTGTTCCTCTGGGATGGGGCGGGGCGAACCAGGCTGCTTAGCATCTCTTACGCGTTCTCTCGTCCCTCGGTGAGTAACGGCTGGGAGCTGCTCTCAGGATTCCACTCACCTGCAGGTGTAAGGCGATGCTCTTCTCACAGACTTACTGTTCCCAAAGATCTCCAGCTCTCAGTAAGGCAGGGGGCCAGTGTGGGAAATCAGTGGGGGTTTTTTTCCATCCAAACTCTGACCTTGATCCCAAACTCTGCTCAGCATCCCAGAGTATCCAGGTGTTTCCACTAAAATGGGCGGTGAAATAGTGAACCATGTTGCCATGTATATCACCATCAGTAGGCTCCAGAGTTAACACAATGCGACTAGGGAGCTGTTCGCATCTCTCAGCGGCTGCTTCAGACTGCTTGCCAAAGGGCTGGAAAAGCTTTGTTTGCAGCTGTCAGGCCTAGAAATATCACTTGTTAAAGCCCTGGGAGCGCCCGCTCTGCAGAACCCGGCTGGAGTGGCGTTGCTGGAGTGTGCTGGCTGTATCGACCGTCTGCGCTGGGTCTGGGGCCGCTGCTGTAGTGCCGAAGGAGGCTTCTCGAGCCAGGGCTGCTTTGGCCCTTGCTCTGTGGGTGCAACGAATGCCGGGAGTCTCCCTTGGTGGGGGGATGGGGGAGCTGTTCCCCTTGCTTCTGCTGTGTCGGCGCATTCCCAGCTGCTCCCCCTCCCTGCTGTGGGTAGGCTGTGCCCTCTGAGCTGCGTCCTGTGGTGGGGAGGGAGGGGAGGCAAGGCCTAGTTAGTTAATTACCCCGGCAAGACCCTTCCTGCCTTTCTGATGAGGAAGGGGGCTGGGGAAAAAACCAGTCTCCTTGGCAACCTGCCGCCACGGCAACTGGCAGCTGGGGCTGGGAGGGGGCCATGGTCATTGACTGAGACAGGTGCAGCATCCCCTGAAAATGATTCACTGCCTTAAGCGGTTTGCCCCCAGCCGCCGTGGCTGGGACAATTAAAGGCGACCTGTTTAAATCCTCACGTGCCGGGCAGACGCAGCGCGCGTGTGTGTGGGGGAGCACGATGGGTCGTGGGCCAGGCTGGTGGAGCGAGTCTCTAGTGGGCTGCACAGCCGTGGGCTAGTCAGTTGCAAGATCAAGGGGCTGTGTTTGCAACAGCCGCCCCTGCAATCTCTGCTGGGCGCTGAGCTGTGCCGCAGACTCTTGTGGGTTGAGCAGATCCTGCGGCGGCAGGGCACCTGGCCGGGAGCCAAGTTCTAGACCTGGACGTGCCATGGACCTCCTGTGGCACTGTGGGCCAGGCCTTGTCTGAACTAGCATTTTAGCCACGGGCACAAACTTACGGGCACAAACTTGCAGCTCTCCTCGGACTGATGCTGGGGCAAGCCACACTGGTACAGATAGTGCTGCACCTATGTGAATCCTGTCCACACTAGGGGCCTACACCGGTGTAGCTACGCGGGGGCCTAAATCTAAGCATAGACAAGGCTGAAGTCACTGCTTCTTTGTGCCTCAGTTTCCCGGTCTCTAACGGGGGGGTGGTGATCCCTACCCACTCATTAAAGTGAGTCAGGCTCCACTGATGGAAAGAGCAAAACGAGGGATTTTACCCCCTCTCCAGACAGTGAGCCTTAGCACTGCTCGACCACATTACATCTCCCCGGGGCGGGTTCATCCGTCCAAGCAAAGGTGATCTGGGGTTTCCCATTCGCACGCAGCAGTACGGGTGACAAAAAACGAGCCGTTCCCATCTCCCTGCCCCTCTGGGAGCGAGTGCGCACCGCATGCACCCCCCGCCGTCAGCCGTCTATGACTGCTTCATCCAGGCCAGGACGTGGGCTGACTCCGGCGGGTGTTGGCAGCCCCCCCCGTCCCCTGTTCTATTGTACAGCCGAGTCCTGGCTCTTCCCTAGAGCAGGGACACGCTGGGGAATCTCCTAGGAGAATTGTCCGTCGGTCCCTTAACGGCTAAGCCACATAGACACCTGCCATAAAATAAATCCATGTAGGACCCGATTCTCAGAGGTGCGGAGCGCCAGGAACTCAGGGGGCTGCTCGGCGGAGCATCAGCGCTCATGAAAATCCAACCCATGCAGTTATGGCCTTCCTGAGTGGTGATGGGCTGAATTCTGCTGTTTCCACGGTGACGGCGGGCCCGGCTCTGAGCCACCGCGCTGGCACGGATCCAGCGTCCCTCCATCTCCAGGGGGTTACGGTGGATTTCCAGAAGCGTGACGGAGATCAGAATCCAGCCACGTCTCGGGGATCCCCGGTGACATGTAACGAGGCTCTGTGCCAACAGCTCTGCTTCCCGCAGCCTATTAGCCATGCAAAGATATTCCCCGGCAGGGGGGAAAATATTCCATCGCCCCATTCCCGAGGCTCGGCCTGGGCCTGGACTCAGTGACAGCAACAACTTTGCATTTATTAATGGGACTAAGGGAGCTGAGCAGCGTGGTTGGCAGGTGCCTCCTGGGATTCTGGCTCCATCGCTCTCTCCTCTCCCCGCCCCGATTCCACCTCCAGTGTGAGGAGAAGAGCACCCAGCGCAGCACTGGCCGTCTCTCCCGGGACAGCCCTGGGGCATCTTCCTCAGCTGCCGTGGTGACAGGCGTGCTGCCGATGGCCTTCCCCACTCCTGGGTTCTGTTCGTGGCTCTGTGGCCTGGGGCAAGTCACAGCCCCGCTCTGTGCCTCAGTTTCCCCAGCTGTAAAATGGGGGTAATGCCCCTGACCACCTCTGTCATTCTCCTCTCAGCTCTGTGGATGAAAAGCGCTAGATAAGCGCTTACCTGGCCTCTTAGCCGGCCACTAAACTCAGCCCCCCTCCCTGTCCTGCATTTCCTCTGCAAAAAATCCCCAAAGCCCCCACCTAGGCAGTGAGGAGTGGGGCCTGACCTGATCTGGGCAGGAAAAGGACACGGATCCCATGGCCATGTGCTGCTCTAGAGGCCAGGGCTGAGGCATGAGGGTGAGGGACCTTGCCCCTGTTCCGGTGCTAGAGGCTGTGGCTCTCCAGGGCCCGCATCTCATCTCTGCGTGGGCTGCCACCAGCAGGGGGTTCGAATCCCCCTCCCTTCATTTGCAGTGGCCTGTAGCTTGGGGCTGCTGCTTGCTGGGTTGCCACCACGGCTCCTCCCCCAACTCCAGGCCCTGCTGGGTTCCAGTTAATTAACTGGGCCTCCTTATCGGCTCCCACACCCGGCGTCCCCCCTCCTGCATGTGAATTAACTCTGCCCGCCGATAAGCTGCCTTGTTCTGGGCCCCGGAGAAACGCAAGTCTCCCCCCTCCCGCTCCATCCCCCCCTCCACTGGAAAGTCTCCTGTGCCACCAACTCCTTTAATGCAATTAACGATGCGCCCCACATCAAAGAGCTGGCTGACTGGCGAGCGCTGATGGGAGCCTCAAGGGGCTTTCCCCCAACTGGAGACAAACCCCTCCTCTTCTCCAGCCTCCTCCTCCTAGTAGATACCTGCGCCCTGACATAAAACCCCCTTCTCAGCACCTCCGCCCATCACGGCTTGGCTCAGCGGTTGATTGACAGCGGCCCTGACAAGCGGCGTTCCTCCTTTTCTTGGAGCAGCCAGTTCAGCCCTTTCAGAAGTAGCTGTGTCCAGGGGCTAGAACTCAGGGCTGGGCGGCTGGAGATCTGGGTTCTATTCTGTCTCTGCCATAAACTGACTCCGGGGCCTCAGTTTCCCCTCATCTGCCAAATGGGGATAATGGTACCGAGGAGCCTTTGCAAATAGCCGATAGGAATGGGTGCCCTATTGTACCAGGTCCTGTATGGACATAGTTCGGTCCGGACCCTGCCCCAAAGGGCTTGCACTCTGAGAATATGTCTATGCGCAGTAAGCCCGAGCGTGCGTGGAGGGGCCTGGCTGAAGTGTCCACACTGCATTGGAAATCTGGGTTTACAAGGGCTGACCCTGGCGCTCTCGGTCGTGCTAACATGTCCGTGCTGCGCAGACCTCGTGACTCGGGTCTGCGGCTTGCCCTGTGTCCACACTGCAAAATGACAGCGCTTAGGCCGGAGTCAAGAGTGGGATTTGGGCTCTGATCCACCCCCTAGCAGGGTCCTACGACCTGGGTCCTGAGTGCTTGCTGAGCCAAGTCAGACACAGCTGTGTGTGGCTGGAAGTGGGGCTTGGGCTCAAACTGGGTAGACGTATCCTGTGGAGACAAGCAACATAGGAAAGTTCAGGGGGGGGCAGAGCTGCACCTAGATGTATCCATGCTCTATAAGAGGATTTGCACAGTAAACGTTAACAGAGGTCCTCAGGTTACACTCCTGGCCCCTCCTTCTGCTGCTGCTTTGATTTGACTAATTCTCTTCCGATTTTGGTATGTTGTATGTTTTTGCTGCAACAGAACAGACTCCCAGGCACTCTGGCAGGAAGGCAGTGTGATCTAGTGGGTAGAGCAGCTAAGACTTCTGAGCACTAGCCAGGGAGTTTGACCAGAGTACAGATGCTGAGAATTGGGACTCCTGGGTCCTATTCCTGGCTCTGTCGCTGCCTGACCTTGGGCAAGTCAGTTTCCCTCTCTGTAAAATGAAACTAACAATCCTTAGCTCAAACCCAGGGATGGCTCAGAGGCTGCCCTAATGTGGGCTAGAGAGAGAGAGTGCTTGGGAGACCTGTTAGTCAAGGCCTTTGAAGTCCTTGGATGAAGGGGGTGATCAAGGACCAAGTCACTCAGGATGAAGAGCTGCACAGCTGGGACTGGTGGCCCTTGTGGGGTTACTGGCTCCATGGAAGCCAGCTGAAATACTGGGGATCTAATATGGAAACACTCCCCTATGGATGTAGGACACACTTCTCCCTTAAGGGAAGAATGGTGGTTCTCAAGATCTTTTTTTCCCCTTCACCCCTTGCCCCACATAAGCCTTTGTTGGAGAACTGAGCTCTGCCCAGTAAGTGTGGGGGTACTCGGGTTCTTAGCGCAGGGCTTGAACCAAAGACCTGGATCTAAAAACATGTCGTTCCTGCCTTCGCTAGGGGCTAGGCCCCTTGTGTCAGAAGAGCAGCTGCAGTAGGAGACTCATAAACATCTTAGGTGGGCCAGCCACTAGAGGGAGACCGAGCCCAACATTCGTGTACGGTGGATTACTAGAGACTGATGGTATTGCATGTAAGCTGTGAAATACCCACTCACCCACCATCACGCGGGGGGGGCAGAAATTGCTAAGCATAGCGAGGGTCCAGTCACAGCCTTGGGAGCCCCTGCCCATGGTCACCGAAGGGCAGGCGCTGGAGGAGAAGCCGGATCCCCAGGTAGTGATGTGGAGGGACAGCTCTGAAGTGCGCGTTCACCCCTGCAGGGACCTGCTGTCTAACTCTGAGGCCAGACCCCTGTCCTGGCCCTCTCCCAGAGAGCCCAATGCACAGAGTTGCGCCTGCGGCTTAGCCAGCGGACCGTGTTGAGGGCTAGGATTTCAGGGGGTGTATCCCAGGGGCCTTAGCGCCTCGGCACCTGGGGCCGCTGTAAGAATTAGTTTGTGATGTGATGTGCGAGAACTTGTCTGTCCTTCCCGGGCGGGTGCAGACGCATTTTCAGCCTCCCGCATTTCAGCAGCGGCATTTCCACCCTGGCGGGCTCCTCGCTTCTGTCCGTTCCACGCCGCGGGTCTGCTGGCTGAGCTGCTCCCGCTGGTGGGAGCCTGGCTGGTGCGGCGGAGCAGGCGTTCGGCGAGACGCTGTCTGAGACGCAGAGGGGTTCGTTCACGGCAGGCTGGAGAGGGGCGCCCCAGGGACGCCCTCCCTCGCCTCGTCTGGGTGGCTCTCTGCTCAGCACGACTGGTGTTTTGCAGAGCGTGCATGGAGGGGCCTGGCTTGGTCTGAGCTCAGACCCTGCAGAGGGGGGGTTAGTGGTGGGGGTGAACTGCTCCCTTCTCACCCCACAGCCTGCCCTGCCCTTCCCCCTCTTTCCTTCCCTGCTGGGATCCCATGAGCCCAGCCCCCCCCCCCACACACACACACTCTGGGGTGACGGATCTGCACCAGGGGCTTTGCTCACGTAATGCCTCTGTTTGGGGGTGTTAGCCGGGTAGCCGCCAAGCCAGGCTTAGAACCCGTTAGGGAAATGGGTATCTTACAGCCCCCTTGTGGCCAGTCTGGTGTACTGCCACCCCTGCACAGTTCCCATTGGTATCCAGTGTGGGCCTAGCAGGGCTGGAGGAGACCCTCAGAAACACGGTTCTTGTCCGTTGGCTCGGCGATGACAGCGGCTGCCTAAGGAAAGGGGGTGGCGGGTGCAGCCCGAGTCCTACATTTCTTCTCTGGCAGCCTGGCTGATGCTCATCGGCTCCGGTTCTGTTTTCTGACACATGTTCCCGGTGGGCCCATCGCTGAGGCGTCTGGGCTGGACGGGCAGGGAAGGTGCTGTGGGAGCTCTAGGTGGGTAGGGTTTGTGTTGGCTGAAGAGGTAGTTTGACACGAACACCTCAGGTCTCCCAGTGAGGCTAGCAGTTGCTGGCAGGTCTCTTCCTAGCCCACTCTTTCAAGTTCCTTTTGGGGGACTTGCCTAGCGGTCAGAGCAGGGGCCTGGGAGTCAGGACTCCTGGGTTTTATTCCCAGGCCTTCAGCTGACTCGTCCAAGGCCATATACCAGTGTAAACAAGGCTTCACACCTGCTGCCTGCCTCCCGGGGTGCTGCAGGGCTTAACTGCTGCACGTTGCTGGACCTCTTGTTGGCCAAGAGTGTCCCTGAATGGAAGGGAATAGAAAACGCTTCCCGCCCCTCCCCCCCGATCAGATTCCCTGCCTACTGCTGCGTATGCCCAGCACCAGTCCCCGTGCCCCCCGCCCCTGCTCTGGGAAGGGGTCCTGGTGTCAGGGGAAGCAGTAGTTTGCCGGTGGTGTCCCTGCTGTGGTTCCTTTCCCCAGATCACGTCCCCGCCTCTGCCCCAAGCTCCCGGACTGGACCAGCGGGGAAGCCTGTGAGCTTCCCCTACAACGCCTGTCAACCTGTACGCCTGTCTCCAGCTGGGGGTGCCGCTTGCTCCCCTTCCAGGAGCACTAAGTTTGACATCCTTTCCTCCTGTCTCCTCTCGTTAGGAGCTGGCCAAACGGCAGCTGGGGCCCATCACCACTGAAATCCAGGCGGCCGGGGAGTTCTATTACGCAGAGGATTACCACCAGCAGTACCTGCACAAGACCCCCAAGGGATACTGCGGCCAAAAGGGGACCGGCGTGGCCTGTCCCATCCGCCCCGCAGCTGAACAAGAGTCATGAAGGGAGTATGTCTGGGAGCCATGGCGATCAACACCCACGAGCAGTTGCCATGGGAACGGAAGCAGCCTAGTACCTCATTTTAAGCGCCCATCGGGAGCGCAGGTGGCTTTTCTTTTCCCGGCCGCCTCTGGACCCAGCTGGACGGCCTGATTCACAGACGTGACGGGTTCTGCACCGGGGAAACGGCCCCTTGAGTCCCTTCCTGCCCTGCGTTTCTGGATGGTTACCATAGCGCTGGGGATGTCCAAGGGCGTGCTCTGGGTCTGAGCCCCGGCGAGGCCCCAAGGTTGAGAGATCACCCCTCGGTCCTGGTCGCTTTGCGGTTGTCTCCAGGCTGAGGTGGGGGGTCTTGCCCTGGTCCCGTTGGCCCTGATTGAAGAGGAAGCCGCCCGGAGCTGATCCTGCACAACCACCAGCTGCTGCTGGCTCCTCGTCCTGATCTGCTCACACCTACGCCCCCCCCCCCTTCCCTCCAGAGCATCCTCTGGGGTCACTTCGATTCACTGGGAGGCTGGAGCATAGGAGAGGGGGGTAACTCGCTTGCTAACCACCTGAAGAATTTCCTTGCCACGGCCATTACAGCATCTGTCACACATGGACTGGCCGCGGGATGGGGCAACCTCGGCACCACAACGTGAGGCAAGGCCAAGAGTTTTCAGCCTCCTTTGCTGCTGGATTTGGGAGGGTCTGGACAGAGGTGCCCAGCCCTGGGGATGCAGGGACCTCGGGGCAGGCAGCAAACGCTCTGCTCTCTCCACCTGGCTTTGCTAGACCACACTGGGAAAGCTGGAGCCTCACCCCTCACGTTTGGTGGAGAAGGAGCCGGGCCATCGCTGAAGGTGGTTGAGGCCTCCCCATGGAGAGAGCGGGGACCTATTAACTTGCAGTCGTTAGACTCCAGGCCAAGAAACCCCCTGTCCTGGGGCTTAGCCCTGGCCTCTAGCCTCCCCCTCCCCCCATCACCTTTGACAATGATACCAAAGCACCAATTCTCCCTGCTCCACTGGTCTCCTGGATCCCCGGTGGCCCGAAGAATGAGACTCCCCGAGCAATGGACACAGGTGCTGGCCGGGTTAGCAACCAGCAGCCCTGCCCTTCCCATGAGCAGCAGGGTTTGTTAACGGGCAGCCGTGGGTGGGGGGAGCTTGTAATGGGCTCTGCCCCAGGGGACTGGGAAAGCAGTCACTGAATCCTGACTCGCTGTCTCTGGGCTCCCTTTGGTGCCTGGTTCGACCTCCTCCTGATCTGAACCCTACCAGGGGAGGAGAGACATCTCGTGGGCTGCTGTCTGCTCGCCTGTCCTTTACTCTCTGCTCTCCCACTGCGTGGGGAGCGATGCTAGCCTAGGGCTGTTCCCGCGCTCCCTGCTGGGGCTCCCCTAACTCATATGGTCCTGCGGGTCCCACCCCTCCGTCGGGATTCCCAGCCAGTGGCACACCTCCCAGCCACTTATTTCACCGACGGTTCCCCAGGAACCTGCAGTTCCCCCACCCCCGGACATGTCAATTGCTTCCTCAGGGCCTGCTGGTGCCCTCTGAAGAGTTTGCTCCTTGCCCCTCACTGCAGTGACTCACAGACTTTAAGGTCAGAAGGGACCATTATGATCATCTAGTCTGACCTCCTGCATGATGCAGGCCACAAAATCTGACCCACCCACTCCTGGAATAATTCTCTCCCTTGACTCAGCTGTTGAAGTCCCCAAATCATGAGTTAAAGACTTCAAGTCGCAGAGAATCCTCCAGCTAGCGACCCCTGCTCTATGCTGCGGAGGAAGGCGAAAAACCTCCAGGGTCTTTGCCAATCTACCCTGGAGGAAAATTCCTTCCCGACCCCAAATATGGCGATCAGCAGAACCCCGAGCATGCGGGCAAGTGATTGCCAGCCTGGCCTTGCCCTCTAGCTGGGCGAGAGATCAACTTCTTCCCTACGTCTGCCTGGCCCTGAGTCCTCCCTGAAGCCCCTGCCGGTCTTTCTAACCCAGCCAGCTCCGTCTGACAGGCTGCCCTGCTCCTGAGCTCCCATCACATGCTGCCCTGCCCCCTGCCCATGCCCAAACCCACCACCCGGAAGGCAGATAACTAGGCACAGGTGGCGCTGAGCCCAGCTCCCCTTAAAGGGCCAGCCCCCCTCTCTCCCGCCCTGACAGCAGCAGCCGCCACCCAGTCTGCACCAGCAAAGAGACCCTGTGCTCGGCGCCAGTGTTGCCTACGGCCAGCGGGGGAGCAGGCGTTGAACTCCCCTGGGCAGAGACGCTCACCCGGGTGGGGCCGGCCTTGTTCATAATTGGCCCCGTGCCATTTTGATCCTCTGCAATGATCCAGCGTCTCCTGGGCTGCGCTGAATAAATGAAGGGATCGATTTATTGACGGCAGGGGCTCGTGTTGTGTCTGGGCTGATGAATGTGTTGGTGTCTCTGCATTGATGCAGCTCCTAGCCTGGGTTGGGGATTGATGGGGGTGGGTGGGGGCGTGATGTTACAGGGGCTCGGGGTAAAAGGGCTAGTGCACAGCAGGCTCCAGCAGCCAAAGGCGCTGGCTTGCTCACCGCTCCCATGCCTGGTGGTGCAGTTACAAGATGTTGCCCATTCAGCGCACAAGTGTAAAGTACCCATGGCTTTCATGCTTGGGTAGAGAAAGGGGGAGTTCACTGGGCTTAGATGTAACGAATCCTTGATAGCTCTTGCTATCTGCACCCCTTCGCCACTAGCAATTTCCCATTAGGTTCCTCCTGCCCTGACAGCACAGACTCCTGCCTCTAGATACAGAGGTGAATCCCCATTAGCAGTATAGAATCTATGACACGCCCAGTGGGAAGTTCTGATTCTGTCCAGCAGAGGGCAATAGTGCCCAGTACAGTCCGTGCGCAGTGACTGCTCCCCTGCGGCTCTTCCTTTCAGCAGCGAGGAGCTGTGATTCTTGGCCAGGAGGCCGAACTGGTGTGTGGGAGGAGGAAAAGAGCCATAAACCCGACCACCCACCGAAGCTCCCTCGAAAGTCTGGCGGAGCCTGTCTGCCCTGAGTCTCCGTGGAAGTTACCTTGGCTGGGGCCCAGCAAAAGGGGACTCCCCCCGCCTCATGTTTCATCCCAGGGGGACACTTAAAGCACCACGGCAATGCAGCTGCCACTTGCTGTAAAGCCCCGCTGTCCAGGAGAATGGGGGACCCCTAGGGCCAACCCCCTCCCCAAAACTAGGCCAGAGGCCGGCCTCTTTCCTCAGCGCCTCAGTGTGGATCTCCTCCTCTTTGCCTGCCCCGTATCTTCCTCTCTGCCTGAGGCCAGCTTTCCAGGCCCTGTCTGTGACCGGGCAACAGAAATCCCAAGGTCACGTCCGCACGGGAGTGTCATATGGCGCCGGTCTCACGTGCAAAGGCCACTAATGGGGATAAGGGCTGGGGAGAGAAGTAGGGGCGGGGATGGATTAGTTGGAGGGGGAGGAATCTGGCCACGGTTGGTTTTAAAATAGAGCCTGTCCCTCTTGAATCGGGGCAAGTGATTGAACCGTTCATTGCCCTGGAATTCGCCTTGTTCATTTGGGCTCCAGCGTGGGCTCCCCCATGGCGGTGATGTGGGCACACTGCCAGCAGGTGGTGCTGTTACACTGGCCACTCCGCTCAATGCAGCCACGGCTAGCAAGTCACGCAAGTGCCCCCCCCCTTAGAATAAGCCGGCCCTCCTAAGCATTTGTAGGCGATGGGATTTATTGGAGTGCTTTAAAAATAAAACGGGTGTTTTCAGAGCTCTTGCCCTGCCCGTGAATCAGGCTGTGGAGGGGGCAAAATGGCTAAGAGGCAGGGGCTTTCAATAGAGGCCTCTTAATTGAATTCCGATAAGCAGGGGAGTGGGTTTTGCTTTGATTTGGGGTGGGGGTGGGAGATTGGCTGGCTCAGAATTCATCTTCATTAAAGCCTGCCATGTGCCCGGCTTCGACCGGGAAGGTGCCCCGCCCCTGGAATCCTTGAGCAGCGGGCCCGAGAATCCAGGCCTAGGTTTTATGTCTGCCATAAAAATGATATTGACTCACTTTGGTCTGCCATGTGTCTGGAGGGAGGGGTTTCCCTCCTCCATCTATAACCGGCTTTAATACAGGGGACAATCTCAGCCAGATTTCTGTGCCCATCTACACTACTTTCTGTTTCTAAAAGCTCTCCTAGTCCCCCCCCCTACCCCAAAATGCTCTTAATGCTTCTATTCTGTAGACTGGGAGGACAGGTAGTTCCATCCCTGTAGCCTCCAAAGGGTTAATCAGGTTATTTATCTTTCAGCAGGTGCAGCTAGTCCCCATGGAGTAGATGCTCAGGGTGTGTGGGCTGGCTTGCATCAGTGCTGGGGCATGTCACGGCTGTGGCTGTGACTCACAGGGTAGGTCACCAATGCAGGGAGTTGGGTGGGTTTCAGCCTGGCTTCCCCCCCGCCAGTGGTGGTCCTCTCAAAAGCCTCCTGCACAACGGAGCGTTTCTGCTGCACAAGGGTCTCTGGGTACCAAGGGCAGGGTTGGAGCAGGTCAGCAGGGAGGTGTGTTGGCTATGCCGGAGGACGGAAGCTTGCACAGCACTCGGCTGTGCCCTTTCCCTACCTTTAGCACCACAGAATAATACCTAGCTCTTCTAGAGCAGCTCTCAAAGTATTTTGCAGATGGGGAAACTGAGGCACGGGGCGGGAAGTGACTTGCCTATGCTTAGCCAGCAGCAGAGCTAGGAACAGAACCTAGGTCTCCTGAGTGCCAATCCAGTGCTTTATCCACTAGCCAGGGGTTCTCAACCTTTTTGTTTCTGAGCCCCACCCCCCCAACATGCAAAACTCCATGGCCCACCTGTGCCACAGTAACTGGTTTCCTGCATATAAAAGCCAGAGCTGGCATGAGTGGGTACCAAGCCAGGCAAGTGCCTGGGCCCCGCAAAGCTAAGTTGCTCAGGACTCAGCTTCAGCCCTGGGTGGCGGGGCTCGGGGCGCTGGGCTACAACCCCATGCGGCGGGCTTCAGCTAGTCACCTAAGAGGATAAGAGCCTACTACAGTGAGCAGCTAGTAGAGTTTCTCCCTCAGCTCCAGCACCAGAGGCGTAAGCCGTCAGAGATAAAGATCCCAGACCCTGTTCCTGCCTGGGGAGCCATGGGGGCGGGGGAGGGGGTATTGCCCTTAGAGATGGGAAAGCTCCTGGGAGGGTGTTTCCCAGGAGTTTAGTTTAACTGTCTGATGAGGACCATTGTTGCATTTAACCAGTGAACCAAACTCCACCTCCACTGAAGTCAGCGAACTTACAGCAGAGGTGAACTTGGCCCGTGGGCCTCTCTGTCCGTGCCCTACTGACCCCTGCTCCCTGCTTTCATGTCCTTGGGGCTGGGCCCCCCCCCCCCCCCCCCCCCAGCTGTCTGGCACGTGCGAACGCGGTGCCATTCGAGCCTGTGTTATGAGTCCCGGCCAGCTCCCTTGGGGCCACTGCCTGCCTCTTGGAACAGGTGGGAGCGTTGGCGGCGCCAAGGATTGCTGCTGCCTGACCCACCCCTCCAGGCCTCGCGGGAGCAGGGAATGGGTGGCCATCGGCTCATCTGATATCCAACAGCACCTGCCCCGTGTGCCACAGTGTCTCTGAGCCCAGGA